CATTATTCGATTGAAAAATCTTGTTCATTTAATGCGTTGTGTGATAGGTACAAGTATTAATATAATGCTATTGTATGTATATAGGAAGCTAGAATTAGGAGAAGTCAAAGTAATAGCGACACACATGTAGCTTGCCAATAGTACCATCAAGGTTTAGGATGTGCTCATCAATGTTGGAAAATTATACTTGTATGATTTCATTGTATGTAACATTAAAGAAGACCAAGATATTCTAGTGATCTTAGGTCGGTCATTCTCAGCAATTGGTCAAACACTAATCAATATTAAGAAAGGCAACTAATCTTAAGGATGGAGGATGAGCAGAAAATATTCAACATGTGCACAACATGCAAACAACCACCCAAACTTGAGGATTGCTATAAGGATGACAAAGACGATCCACTTGATCAAGGGAGATGTCCGTACAAAAGGAAAAACGGTGAAATTGTTCGTCCTCTAAAAAATGAGACAACGATTTAAAAATATGGAGAACAAAGAAAGGGTAGAAGGTTGAGAATTGCTAAGAGCTCAAAGTTTCCATAGCTAGATTCGATCCACCATGATCAATAATTGATCCAAGTCAAACTTGAGAATAAACAGTGGGCTCAATGGGATACACACAATTTTTCTAACTTTTAACTTTTTAATTTTTAAGTATTTATTATATATAGAACGAATGGTAGCATCATACATTTAGGATCGTTTCCCAAGCTCTTTGAAAAAAGAAATTTGAATAACCTTGCAATCGTGAGACTAAGAATGCTTTTCGATTGCAACCATACTTTTCGAGACTAAGAATGCTTCATCGAGTTCTTAATTTTTCTCTCGTATTTTAATTTCTATATTTTTGTTAGTGTAATGCTACATTGAGGACCATGTATGTGAACTTAACTCAAGTAATAGGATTCATATTCGATTCTGGTATTGTGTCTATGTTGGATCAAAATTTGAGTTGGTTCATGTTAAAACTTGAATTTTCAAGTATTGCATGAATTCCATTATTTTGTACTTGAACTTTGATCGATTGAGTACGGCTTCATTTTTTATTGAACTTATTATTAACTTTGAAGTTTCTTGTGTAAATTAGATACCTTAGATTCTTTTAAGTTCATAGTGTATCTTTATTGCACTAATAACCTAAGTTAGAACCTTGCTGAAAATCCTGTTTAGAATAACTCTGGGGTGACTAGATTTGTCCAAATGCAATATCAACTTCACTTGATTATATTCGGCTCTTCTCATTGATCTTAAAAATTGAAAGACATTGCATTAGTCATAGTACGTAGGAAATGTTACCTAAAGTATTGTGTGAAACTAGTTTTGAGTAACCAAACTCTACTCATTATCATTGTTTAGGGGATAATCTTCTGATGAAGTTTCCTTCAGTGTAGAGTGAAAACTGCATTCGAAAACTAAAAGGACCCTAAAAATAGAATAAGCAAAGAAAATGAAAAAAAAAATGGAAAGAAAAACATCAAAGTACATTGAGACAGTGACAAAACCACTATAAATATGGTATTTGTCCAACTAAGTCTTGAACATCTAGTAATGATTTGGACGGTGGTTGAGTTTGTAATGAGAAGAAGCTCAATCTCACTTGTTTAGTTTACCTTTGGAAAAAAGAAACTGAAAAATCAAGAGGGCAATAAGACAAATGAGATAACATATTGAAATATTTGAGATTCGGTATTGATTGGGAGAGCATACTTTAGGAGTTGAAATGCATAACTTGATTCAAGTATCATCAATGAAATCAGGAATGATTAAAACATGCACATTTAAAGGTTGAATATACGATAAATAGAGTTGGTAAAATAACTTTTCATTTTTGTGCTTCATTAACTTGTTTGAATTTTGAGATTTAAATATTCTCTATGAGAAAATATTGAATATGTCTAGTTGAGTATATGTATTTAGTATTTATGTTGAGTTTTTATTTTGCTTATTCGAGGTCGAACAAAAGTCCAAATTTAACAGTGTTTGAAAAATGTATTTTTGCACTTATTCAAGCCATTAATGTAAGGTATATGTGAGTTCTTTTATTGTGTAGATACTTAACTTTGTACATTTTATTATAATTTTGGGAAAAACTTGACATTGGACAAACGAAATGATGAAAATGAATGAATTTGGACTAAAAAAGGATCGAAATTGGGCAAATATTGGATTTTGGGGACAAATGTAACGAGTTTGAAAGTTGAAGCACTTAAAATGAAATATAGGAGGACTTGGTTTGGGTTGAGCAAAAAATCGAATTGGAGGATCAAACTATAAGGGAATGGAAAGATATTTACCTTTGATATCTCAAGGGTCTATTCTGAAGCGATCGCACAATAGCAAATTTCAATTTCTAGGAGCCACACATGGAAGCCTATCCGATCACTTGGCTATTTCAGGACCCAAAAATTTGGTTTTCTAATTCGACTCAAACATTGATTTTAATATTATGGACATGATTTTTAACCTAGTTTGATGACTATAGATAGTTTCTATTCATTCTTTTCATGGAGAGATGCACTCTTGATAGCAAATGCATAATTACACCCACATATTCGCAACATTTGTGGCTAGAATTTGAGATTTGAAGGAGGATATCATCAATATTTCGAGAGATCTACAATAATCAAGGAACAAGCTAAAGAAACATTGTTGGGATTGTTGGAATTTAGTTTAAAATTTGAGAAAATTGGTTAAGTGTTAAAACCAAAATTGTGGAAAAATGACTTTCATGTCAATTTAGGTCAAATATTTGGACTTGATCCAATAGTTCACTTGTTCTACTCGTCGAGTGGGTCGTCATAGTATATTTAAAATCTCAAAATCAATTCCCAATGAATGAGAAATTATTGTCCAAATTTGGAAGAAAAATAGAGGAATATTGGCCTGAATTTTTGCCTAACTCCATCGCTCGCATATCGCTTGAATGACAAGGCTGTCACTCGAGCGACAAGTACCAAAAATTTTCTGTAAATGCTTTGATACTCTCGCTCGAGCGAAGAGGTCAACGACAAGCTAGTGATAGTAAGTGATGCTTCTATTCATAAGGTTACAAGGTGTGGCACGCAACACATCATCCACAACCCCTCATCCTCTATAAATAGGACCCTTTGACGTCCATAAGTCATTCCATATCACTTTTCCATTGAGCATTACATTGAATCTCTTGCAAAAACTCTCCAAAATTCATTTCACATCATTTCGTTGTAGAGAGGATAAAATTCCGTTCGAGTTTGTTGTGGCTTGAAGTGCTTTTATCACAAGTCGAATCCGTTATATCTTGAGAGACAAGTGTCATAAATCGTTAACATTGTTACTGTGCAATTTTTTCTTAAAGAGAAAGTGTAATCACTTATTACACTTGTCTCGGATCGTTTCTCACTTTCAATTCTTCTTCTTCTTCATTTCTTATTATTTCCTGTTTATTTGTGGTTTACTATAAAGTTTCCTTCATATAGTGGTGTGTTTAATCACGCTTCAGTGGATTAAACTTTGTTCTTGTTTGTTCTATATATTCAAACAACCCTTCATTGCACACATAAAGCCCAGCACAACAGGGATTCGTGTGGCGATGAAAATTAATAGTTTGGATCTCTATCTTTTATTTTTTGAATTCCTCAATTATGAGTGGCTATTTATTTATTTGTTAGGATGAAACATATCGTTTAGGCTATTGATGTTAATTTAATTCAAAAATTGCACGCCAATTTTGTTTGTGCTAATTACATATTGTACACTAATTTAAATTCGGTAATCTGATCATCAATTGATGAATTTAGGGATGAAATTAACACTGAGAGGTGATTTATTTGTCGAACTCATGCAATAAGTGACATAGGTATGATAAGAAATCGAGAGATTCTTTCATATGATATGCAATTTTGATTGAATTCTTGTAAAATAATGTATTTATATGTGTTGGAATTTAAATAGAGATAATAGTTTGACTCGAAAGAGAAATAATTAAACTTGGTTAATTCGATTGTTAAGAATATTAATTGACCTAGGTGAATTAGAAATTCCTAACTACATAATCTCATAAATTCTTTCAAGAAGTCTCATGCGTTATATGAAGTTAGTATATTTAGTATATGTTTAGTTTTAATTTTGATCTTTGAACAACTGTTTGATTACCACATTAGTTGAATTTGAAGTTACATTTAAGATAAAAATTGAATGTCAATAATTACTTTTTGAGGAACCATACTTGGACTTCAATCCAATTTATATCATGCACGATATCGTACACTTGCAGTTTAAACAAATAATATATAATTTTTTTAAATTTGTAACATACTCTATCTATCAATCATCTACATTAATTACATATACACAAATACTAGCAACTGAGAGTGCTGTTGCTGATTTGCTTAAACAATGAATCAGGACAAGCAAAGAAACAATTGATAATGAGAAAGTCCAGTCTCAAATTCAAATACTTTGGCCACATTTGCTTGCTTCAGATATGCTGACATTTAAAATTGATCTAAAACTATATCACGCATTTTGCACATTTATTTTTAGCACTTGTTGATAAAGATTTCTTGAGAAGTGATCCTTTGAAAATTATGTACCTGTTTGGAGGGCATTTTTAACTCCTAAGAATGAAAAAAAGGGATCGTTAGAAGCACTTTTTAGCCACCATTTTTGACTAAATGTGTCTAGTATGGAACCTACATTTGAAAAAAACGGTCCAAAAATTTCTACTCTCTTCTTTAAAAATATGGCTCAAACAGGGACTATGTATTTTTTGTAAATGTACGGTTAAAAGTTAAAAAAAAAATTATGAAAAAACATAAAAAATGATCTTTCTAGAATCTACAGTTGAAAAATGAGTGTACGAGAAGAGTGGTTTTCAAATAACTAAAATCAAACAAAAACTAATTTCTTTTAGGTCAACAAAAGCATCAATCTTTGTCAAATTTCGGTGCCTCTTTCTTGGTGCAGCATAAGATTCTTTAGAAATTTGGCTCCCACGGTTCCTTGCAAATGACTTTTTATGTACTTTCAATTAGCTTTTTGACACTGTTTTTCTGGCCTAAAACACGCATTAATCATTACATTTTTTAATTTTTTTTTCTCTTTCGTGATCTTTCCCATTACCATTTCACTCAAAAAACTAGTCACTACCAGTCCCAAATTCTAGCAAAGTTCAGTAAATCATATTCAAGTTTAAATTAGAAGTAATTAACAAGGGAAGTTTCAGATGGGCTCAGGAGATAATGTGTTTACTGTTGTGGCAAAAAATATAGATGTTCTTGCAATGTACTTATAGGATTTCTTGCACTGTTTTCTATTTACTTTTTTCAATAAATTTGAGATCATTTGAGTTTGTGTTTTAGTTCTAACACGAATTCTTTTTTTCATTTATCAGGCCTGTGGTTTCTCTTGTATATCCTCTGTAAGTAACATCTTTTACTTCATTTTCACCTGTCATTATATTCTTAAATTCAAAAAAGAAAAAAATTAGAAAACTCAATTACTCTCAGAAATTTGATTTCCTAAATTGGTCTTCACAGACAGAATAGTTGCTTTGAATCTTCCAATAGATCAGGTTTATTGACATCACGTTTTAGTTGTCTTTACAGACCAGATATGCTAAAATAGTTTATATTAGGTTGTACAGATATTGTTTTAGTTTGAGTTTTGGTTGTACAGATATTGTTCCATCAAGGCTATAGAAACGAAATCTCGAGCAGATGATCAGCAGTGGCTAACATATTGGGTTCTTTACTCTTTGATCACCCTCTTCGAGCTTACATTTTCCAAAGTTCTTGAATGGTAAAGTTCTTTTCATACATGATTCGTGCAGTCGAGTTATTTTTCGGTTACAAGAACTTGTGTATTGGTTGAATCAGGTTTCCCATATGGTCTTATGCTAAGTTGATTGGTGTGTCCTGGTTGGTGCTGCCTTATTTCAATGGAGCTGCATATGTTTATGAGCATTTCATAAGGCCTTTCTACAGAAACCCACAAGTTAGAATGTGGTATATCCCTAGAAAAAAGGACTTATTCAGTAAGCAAGATGATATTTTAACTGCTGCAGAAAAGTATATTGAAGAGAATGGACCTGAGGCATTTGAAAGGCTTATAGCCAGGGTAAGCCGAACATTCTGTATCTAGAGCAAATTGATTGGAATTCAATGAATACTTTGTTAAAGATTTTAGTTAAGAACTGTTTAGGAATTTGCATTTTTATAAAATTCTATGAAGGAATATGAGTTCTTGTAAAATTCGGTTTTGTTCTAATTTATCTTATAGGGAGCAGTCCTTAGTTTTTATATATTATCATCAAATAGACAGAGAGAGGTTAGAGGAGATAGGATGGATATTTTCTCTTGCAAACCTTTTTTCACCATAGTAAATTACTGCAACGGCAGGAGATAACGTAGTTTTGAGGCGAACCTCTATAAATGTTACATTTTTCTTGATTGTTTATTTTCTTTATTTAAATCGTTCTTGGTGGGATAGAATCAGGGTTTATAATTCTCAACATACTCATGTGATTTTAATTGTGTGCAGTCTGATAGAGAAGCAAGAGCTAGGAGGGGCAACTACACAGTGTTTCAAGATAACCATGGCTATTATTAACCTGCTACTAAACAACTTATAAATTTGCTGCAAGGGTGTTGTGTACTTCTCAGCGTTCTCATTTCTGTTTGATGTTACAAGGGTAGCTGAAGAGGACTGTTTTTAACCTTAACCTGCTAGTATTGGTTATATATCTTGTCTTCATAAGTTTGAACCTTAATTTACATCTTTGGTTCTTATTTATCTATGGTTTTTGATGGGTCTTATGAGGATTTGCTGCTTTTCGGCATAATTATTTTCTGTTTTCCGAATTAACGGAAAGTTTAGCATGTCAAACACAAAGATTAGATGAGATTCAAGAAAAAGAGACATCTCACAAAGTGCGGTAGTTGTTTTGTCCCGTTATGTTTAGTTTTATGTATCATTAATGACATGTTTGGTATGTTGGATTGTTCACGAAAAGACGGAAAAAAATTACAAATAAAAATTTGATGTTACCATACTCTGAATTGTTAATATGTTGTTACATACGTGAATGGTCTCGTCAATATATTAAAAACACTACACAAGGAAAACTTGATAGAAAAATATGGCAACAATAAACAAAAACTTGGAAGGAAATTATAATTGCAGCCTTTAAATAGCCCAGTAAAAGGGATCAGACCTCAATTGGGCTCATCTTTATTGGGCCGAACAGAAGGCATTCTATGAGCCATGGAGCATCTCAATTGATGACCAAACAATGTGGGCCAGAATAAAGCCAGAAGTGTATTGCATGGATTGCTAACTACCCAATAAGTTTTTGTGTTGTAAAACTTTGTTAAGATTTTTTCAATCGAAATCAAATCAATGTTAATCATATTTGAAGAAATTCACAAATTTTATTAATTTTGCAACCTCATATTTCATCAAATTTTATTAAAATCTACTAAATTTTTTTATAAAAAACTTTATCACGCATATTTTAATTATTTAATTTTTTTAATTCTTATCTAATCAATATTTTTCAAAAGTCACTTACTTTTCTATCCTATATAAGCTGTAAGCCTAATTCCCACGTCCATGTGCATGGGAACACAACCCACCACTAGGTCCACCACCAACATTGGCACATTCAGATCAACATCGCTACCCGCACTCGCAACTATAAAGACTACCGTCGAACCTAGATCTGGATCATTGCTACTGTAACTCGCCACTACTATCACCTCCCCTAGTGTTGGACGAGATAGTGTTAGACTTTTGAGTATGCTGAATATAGAGAAAAAACCCCAAATGGTCACTGAACTTCGCCCAAAATTCCCAAGGAGGTCACCAAACTTCAAACTGTCTCTAAGTAGTCACTGAACTTAGCTCAAAGTCCCCTAAGAGGTCACTGAACTTCTAAACGTCCCTAAATGGTCACTAAACTTTACAAAAAGTTTTTAGAGGATCACTGAAATTTGAAAATTACTGAACTTTGCAAAGATGAATGGGGTCCCAATTTGCAAATTTCAGTGATCCCCTAGGAACTTTTTGCAAAGTTCAGTGATTATTTAAGAACGTTTTGAAGTTTGATGACCTCTTGGGAGATTTCGAGCAAAGTTCAATGACTACTTAGGGACGTTTTGAAGTTCTGTGACCTCCTGGGGGACTTCAAGCAAAGTTCAGTGACCATTTGGGGTTTTAACCCAATATTGAGCGCACTTATTACTCTATATATAACGAAGTAATTTATTTTACTCTACAAATAAAATTATAAGTAACACAAGTAATGCATATATTATCCTATAAATCAAAAAATGTGCATAGAACAAGCATGTTAAACAATAACACAACATGTAAATTAAGGTAAAATACATGATGAAGTAAAAAAATAAAAATTTGAAAAACGGAAGTACTTTCAATTTTTAAAAGAAAAGTAGGGTAGTTGTCAATTAACCCCCATAATAATTATTTAGTAATACTTGCCCAAAAATATATATTTTGTAATTTTAAGTGGGGTTTTAAATATTTTTTACTCATGGTTAAATATCTATATGCAAATACCTTTTATTCGGATGTTATTTTCGAAAATATGACAGGACTTCGACTTTGATCAACTCTATTGCATCAGTATTAAAATGATGTCAGTCTGCAATGTCGCTTGTGAAAAAAATTTCCAACAAAAAGATAATGAAGAAATAACATACAAAAATCAAACTTAAAGTAATCTCCCAAAAAAAAATTTTTTAAAAAAAAAGTCCAATTGATTTTAATAAACTCACATACTCATGTCTTACATTATACGTACAAAAAATTGAATTTAGAGTCCGTTTGATTGTAAAGATGGAATTGAATTGAAAACGAATTTCAGGAAATTGAATTGCCTAAAAATTATTTTCCTGATAATTGTAAATTATTGTATTTGATTGGGATAATTTTTCATGTGGAAAATGTTGAAATAAAAAATTTTTTTGATCTCCGTTTGACTTTGTTTTACATTAAAATTGTCAATTAAAGGGATAGATTTTACTGGTATTGGGGATGAATTTGTTTTCATTGACAACACACACAAAAAAATAAAAATTTCAAGAAAATCATCTATCTTTTGGTGTTCGTTTGGCTTTATTTTACATGAAAATTGTCATTTAAACGAAAATATTTTTTTAAAATAATTCTTGAAATTTGTTTCCATTATCAACGCAAAAAATGAAATAAAAAAATTGAAAAAAAAATTACAGGAGAATTGGAATTCAAGGAAAACATGGAATTTAACTTAGATGGCATAAAAGGTGGAATTCGAATTGTAGAAAAAATTTTGCCAATCAAACAACAAAAAATTGGAAAAATGGAATTTGATTTCCATTTTCCATGAAATTTGGGTGCAATCAAACTTAGCATTAAAGTAATCTCCCAAAAAATTTATAAAAATAAAATAAATAAATAAATCCAATTGATTTTATCAAACTCACATTCTCGTGTCTTAATGTATTTTAAATTCTATTTAAAGTGTTCACCTAAATAACTGGCTCATACAAATAACGTTCGATAAAAATTTTCGAGAAGATAATATTAGACCTATGGATACTTC